TTTGTGATTTTATAAAAAGATACATGTTCTACATTGAATTTATAATGCTCACTTTATGGTGCCAATGTCCATGTTAGTGGTTTTATAAAAACACTAAGTGATGTTTTTACATTTCCATAAAAATGTTAAATAAACAAAATGTAAAGTAAATGAATTTCTCTAATTTCTTTTTACTAGTCTACACTCAAACATTTAATAATAAATATCTTTTAATTAATAATCATATAATTTGTGTTTAGTTTGTAATACAATTGCATTGTGTTGGATCAAAATAGTAAACTACAAAAAACACAAAAATATTAAAATTAAAGTATATAGTTTTTAAGTAAAGCTCAATTAATAAAATAAAAATATAATTTAAAATTTTTAAGTTAACAATAAATACAAATTTTGAGTACCCCCATACTTAGAAAAGATGAGTTTGTGTACTTAAAACTTTTGAGGTAATCAGTTTCCACAAATGTTTTAAGTTCAGTCAACTGATTCGGGTTTACAGTGCATGAGTGCAGGTGGTGATCAGTGCCAAACATGGAATGATGCAGTGAACACAGCGTAGGGTCATGTGTTAGTGGTGGGAACAGTCATACGGTTATTATACACAGAACTGTCAATGCATTTTTTATATTTCATGTTGCAATTGGATGGATCTCCTCCTAGGATCTCCTTTTCTTTCTCAGGTTTCTGCTGCCTGAGATATTCACTAAGCACATAGTCAGTTGAATCTTTGTTGTTTCAAATAACAAAGATAGCTGGATAGTGGTTCTGCATTCATTAGTCCTCGGCCTCCTTCCTTCCACTTAGCGTGCAATCTCATGGTGCTGGACCTGGCGTGAAACCCTCCATTTGTCGCAAGGAGATTTCTTTTCTTGATATCAGTGGATTCCATTTCCTCTTCTGGCCAGCTTATTATCCCAGCAGGGTATCTATTAACTGGCAGGGCATAGATGTTGATTGTCCCATTCTTGTTCTTCTCATTCAGCTGACTCTTCAGGACTTGCCCGTCACTATGCAGGTATTTGCCAGTTGCAGCTTTCCTGGTGATCTTGTTTCGGTTCCCATTTGCCTGTGGGATTCCAAGACACTCATAACTATTCTCGATGTCTCCAATGTTGCCTTCTGGTTGTGCAATTTAGCGACCGTTGTCCCAATGGCCAATCGATTTATTTTAATTAAAGATGACCTGTGCAGGTTTTAAAGCCTTCATTCTTCTCTATATGTATAAATTATTAAGAAAGAATGGCCAGTACTTAAAATATGTAAGATGCACAAAGGATATATTTTTCTGAACAGCTGAGTTTAAAAAAAAGAAAACATAAAAACTTTTTTTGTGTTAATCTTCTATAAAATCAAAGCCCTGTATTCTTTGTTCAGGCAAGCTTTGTTTAGTGAAGACTGGATCCACATAACATGCAACACTGTTCTGTCACTTACAGCAGCTGTCTGTTCCCCGGCATCTTCAAATCAGGTAATCTAAGCTTTATGCAGAGAATTTAGTGAATAGTGGTCACTAGGGCTGGGTATCGTCACTGATTTCTAGAATCGATTCAATTCCGATTCACAAGGTCCCAAATCGATTCGATCCACGAATCGATTTAATTCGATTCGATTCGATTTTGACAGTCAGAAATATTATAATTCAGATCAGTACATTTACATATTTTTGTATCTATAAAAAGGAAGCTGACACACGCAAGACTTTATCAAAGGTGTAAGCATCACAGCAGATGCCTTTGTGTCAAAGTAGCTGAGGATAAAACAGAAAAACATGAAGGCGATTTTCCTGGCCTGGGATTTTATAAAATATTCTGTAGTACATCAAAAACGAAAGAAAACCATTAATCAGCATATGAACATTACCTCTGAAGTTACAGGGGTTTTATTAGAGACACGGCGTTTTGCATTTTGTATAATTTTAAAAAGTTTACATTTGTTCAGTATTGAACAGCAGAAATTAGGTTTTCTTTTCGGAAGTATATAAAACGAAAAAAAATGTAGGCCGACAGCGCTGTAAACAACGGTAGACTTGTGCCTAACAAGCAAGCGAATAATGAAGTACAGAGAGAGAGAGAGAGGTGGGAGGGAGAGAGAGAGAGAGAGCTGTGGCTCGTGGTGGAAGCAAAACAGTAAAAGTCAGAGTGAATTCATGACGATGTTTATGTGAAGCGTAGTTTGGATCTTCTTTTGCTGCTGGTTCGGTCAATATTGTTTTGGAGAGACATCAAACTAACAGCTTTAGAATCAGCGCATAAAGGGCGTGAACACAAAGCGCGGACCCGCCGACAGATCAGAATCAGCGAGCTGTCGGCTTTCAGCCCCGACTGTGAGAAAGGCGACATCTATCTGATTCTGATCCGCAGGTTGCGCTGTGTGTCTAAGTCTTTGTGCAGAATCCGTGTTCCTGCTCTCATTTACTGTCTTAGCTGTTTGGTGGTGGTTGAAAGTTTGTGAGATTTCACCAGAGATTCTGGCATTTCGGGCAAAATAAATTTATATAAAAAAATTGATTCAGGATTTTAATGAATCGATTTTACGTTATCCAAGCCAGAATCGATTTTAATCGATAAATCGATTATAAAAACCCACCCCTAGTGGTCACTAAGCAATGGCTGAGCTTGCTTGGCATTTCTAGCTTTCTTTCAGTTTGGTCAGATCTTCACATTTTATTAAAAAATCGGTCAGACTTTTGTTAAAATGGTATTTGCAGTAATATATATACATTTTCATGACAGACAAAGGCAGGAGTAGATGCTGAAATATTCTTAGATCAAACAATAAATAAACATCTTTAGCAAGTTACTTTTAGTTTCAGTGTGAACTCCGATAAAACAAAGTATAGAAGAGAAAATATGTTTCTCTACATACCTGTTTTAAAAAAGTATACTTTAAACCAGTGGTTCCCAAACTTTTTTTGCTAGGCCCCCCACCGAAAACGGAGATTTTTTAAAACTCATTTTTTTCCGTTTATGTGTGGACGAGGAATACAGAGTGTCACGCAACGTCAAAGGTATGTGCCTTTTTTCACGTCACGGTGTGCGCCACGTTTACATGAGATAAATTGCAGAATGGGAGATAAAGACAAAATACTGTTACTGTTAATCTTACTATCTTCTGGTTTTACACGCTTACATATACACACGCAGTTACTGTCCCTCCATTTAGAAAGGCAGAGGCGTCACGGTGTGATTATTTTACTGTAGTTGGTTTTTTTCATGTGTAATAATATTCAACATTGCTATTAATTCATTTTTCAAAAAACGCCTCTCTGTGCAAAATGGGTTTAAAAACATAAACAACTGTAGGATACTGTTTGTCTGTGATTTGGAGAGCCCAGTGCGTGCTCCCGACACAAGGAAAACCAATTCTGCAGGGGAGACCTACCTCGGCACTTGTGCAGGTGAAACCAAAAGAAGATATGCTTCACCATATTTTCTAGTCTTTGGCAGTGTGAAACCAAAGGGCAGATGCTTCACCATATTTTCTAGTCTTTGGCTTAGAATGAAGTTGGTTTGGAAACATATTCAGCGATGCTTCATCTCCTGCTTTGCGTTTCTGTGGGCCCCGTGCTAGCAGTGTCCAAGCGTTTTCCCCCCTTTTCATACCGCCCCCCCCCCCCCCCTGCAATGGCTCTGCGCCCCCCCCTCCTAGGGGGTGGGCCCCACACTTTGGGAAGGTCTGCTTTAAATAATGGTTCATTATGTTCTAAAATGGCGACACTTACATTTAACCCAAGATTATTACAAAAAGTTCATAAATCACAACATAAAACTCAAATAATGGTTCCTGATGTACGTATAATGCATTGATATTAGAAAGATGCCCCAAATATCAAGCCTTTAGTATTCTTTCTAGAAAATCAAAATTCATTTTTCCCTTTTAATTTCTTTAATGAAAAACATGAAAAAAAACCCAAACAAACTTCATATGCACAGCAGCTAGCTATTGATTGTGGAAAGGTATAATGAAGAAAGGTTAGTCCTGCTGCTACTTTTTTCATTGGATACAGTTGCAATAATTTCTACATGTTAAGGGAAGGAATTACCCCTGCAGAATTCAATTAAGAAACATTCAAATAAAATATTAATTTACTTATTTTAGGATTTCCCACTTTAATTTTCAAATGGTTGTCCTTTTTAGTGTCATGGTTATATGTTACATTTTACAAATTACACACTGAATTATAAATGTTTTGCTACATGTGTTTCATTAAACTACAGCACTCTGTGTGATATTTGTATTTTAGCTTTTAACAACTTTTTCAAAGACTTTTTTATTTCTGCAGTTTGAAAGACATAGATTATTGGGTTTAACATGGGAGGCGTAACACTGGCTAAAGATAGGTTTACAATCCTTGCATTTGGATGCATTGTACTCCCAAAACTATAAACAACTAAAATAGGAATGAAATATATTGCCACTAATGAAAGGTGACCTGTACAGGTTTTCAAAGCCTTCACTCTTTCCTTACACGTAGAAATTCTTGACAAAGAATAACCTATACAGCAGTAACTTCCCAGGATAAATATCAGAGGAAGCCATAGAACAAAAGCTCTTGACCAAGCAGAAATTGTTTTGTTAGGGGTAACATCATTGCAGCTAAGCCGATATATAGGGCCATGGTCACAATAATAGCTATTAATAACCACAGATTCACAAAAATATAGTCTTGTGAGAAGGCCAACTGCAGTTCCTGTTAGAGCAACAGCAAGAAGCCAGAAAAAAGCAATCAAAGACAGAATGATTTTGTGGCTCACTCTCATTTGATAGTGCAACGGGTACATGATAGCCATGATTCTGTCAAAGGACAGAACGACCAGATTAAAAGCTTGCATTGAAATTAAAGTGAAGCAGAAAAACATGAATGTCAAGCAGTTGTTGTAAGAAATATAATGATGGTTAAACAGAGAAATGTCAAGAACCTTTGGCACCAAAGCAGAGTTACTTAACAGGTCTGTAAATGCAAGATTAAAAACTGCAATATATTTAGGACTTCTTAATGTATGGTCAAAAATGATTATAAGCATCACAGCTGTGTTTCCCACCACTGAAAAAATGTAAATGAAACACAGAAAGACAAAGTAATACCTAATATTAGGTATGCCAACAAATCCACTTATTATAAAATTTGCAGGTTGCACAAAAGTGGTGTTTTTCTCAGCAGCTGAGTTTAAAAAATCCATTTGAAGACGTTTTTGTCGTCTTCTTTTTTTTCCAATTCAGCCAAGCTTTCTTTAGTGAAGCCTGCCTCTGAATAGAAGGAGAACAGCTTTGTGTTTTGTTCCTTATAGCAGCTATCTGTTCCCTTGTGGAAGTAACAGGGTGATTAAGGCTGAATACAGAAAGGCTAGGCAATAGGGGTAAATTAATAAGGGTCAAGCTTGTCTGACTATAGCAGAAAGTTTCTCAATTTCCTTACAGAAAAAAACCTCATATATAACTGCTAAAAAGCCCACAACAGTTATGATTAAAAACACAATATTACAGTTTTTCTCAAATGCTAAAACAAAAAAGCCAATCCTCTAAACCAAATGACCAGTTGTCTGAACACATTTAGTAAATCTAGCCGTCATTTACCAATATCATAAACACATGTCACATGAAGACACAATTCACAGAACACAATCCTCCGTTGTCATAAATCTAAACACATCTTTCCTTTAGTGATGTGTCCTGTGTGTCGAAACATCGAATATTGGTCGTGTCCAAATTCATGGGCTGCATCCTCCTGAGGTCGCATTTGTAGACCGATTACATCACAGCGACGCGCCGAAGGCTGTCCAAATTCGTAGACTCCTTCAAATGCGTCCTTCTTTCCCCGAATTTGAAGGATGGGTCGGGTGTGTCCTTCGTGGCCACCATATCCCAGAATTCATAGCGCGGCCCAGCCAAACTCCAGTTTCCAACAATGGCGGCCGCTACTAAGTTTTAAAATTACTCATACTAATCTTTCTGGGTCACAAAATAAACTTTTAACATATTTTCAGGCGAGAAAGTAGCTGTGTAAACATCAAATATCTGCTCGGTTTATCAAGATATCGCATATTTGCAAAAGTGCTTCGACGTTTTCGGAGACGTCTGCTACCCACCAGCTCGATAGCTAGCCGGGAGCTCGAGGGTCACTGAGCCGCCGAGAACGGCACAACTCCCGGCACATCATTTTCAGATCACCGCGGACTTTCGCTGCTCGGGTTAAACGTAATATATAAGTCACTTAGACAACCTAAAAATGTTATTGTTGGGCTTTTTTCAGTGTTTTGTTTGTTCGTGAGTAAATCGGTTTGGCTGAGATTAAAGTTATTAGATTAGATTAGATAAAATAAAACTTTATTAATCCCCCGGGTGGGTTCCTCCTTGGTTTTACACAGCTGACTAAACGTCAAACAGAAAACTGATTAAACAGAAGTATGAGACGTCGAGAATTTACGCCAGTGTCCTGTTATATTTTAGATAGCAAGGAGCAGACGGCTGAGTTTATTAAACTCCACCGAGACAGCGGTGACGCTAATCAGAAGGCTAGACCGTCCAATTTCACAGCCGTTTACTCCGCGCCTACCCGACCTTCTGAGGACCCGGCCCACGTAGACCGCGAAGGCTGGGTCCTCAGGAGGATGCAGCCCATGAATTTGGACACGACCCGTGTGTCAGGTAATCTCGGGGGCGTTTTTGTGAAGCGCGTATCGAGGCTTGCTTTGATTACGTATGCAGTGACGTTCGAGGCCTCGCGGGCAGTCCGTACCACGTGAATGATTCAGGGACTGGTTCACCGATTCGCACCAGATTCGAAATAAAATGGGCAGAAAAACACAGCTGATTTCCCCATCACACTGCGTTGTGGAATTGGATTACGTACGTGTTACATAGTTACTTGAGCATTTCTTCTTCGATGGAACCAGCAAGGAAGAGATTTTTATTTAATTTTATCTCTTCTAATAAAGTATGCACACAGTAATAAATGTCACAAATGCTAAGCACCATAATATAAATAAACAACACTACAGATCCTATAATCTGATTTCTGTCTTTTAGTTTATTAAAAAAGCAAAGCACCAAACACTAGTTTGTGTCATTATCCAGATGTACATAAGCATGATTACACAGTTACTAGGAGCGGGTTTTGATCATCGATTAAAATCGATTCTAGCTTGGATAACGTGATATCGATTCATTAAAATCCTGAATCAATTTTTAATATAAATATTACTACATTTCAACAACCACCAAACAGCTAAAACAGTAAATGAGAGCAGGTACACCGATTCTGCACAAAGACGTAAACACAAAGCGCGGACCCGTTGACGCATCAGAATCAGTGAGATGTCGCCTTTCTCACCAGACAGTACGGACACGGTCGGGGCTGAAAGCCGACAGCTCACTGATTCTGATCCGTCGGCGGGTCCGTGCTTCGTGTTTACGCCTTTTTTGCGCTGATTGTGAAGCTGCAGGTTTTATTTCTATTCAAACAACATTGACCGAACCTGCAGCAAAAGGAGATCCAAACTACGCTTCACGTAAACATCGTCATGAATTTCCTCTGACTTTTGCTGTTCCTCTGACTTTCACCAGGATAAAATCACACTTCATGCACAGCTTTCTCTCTCTCACACACTCTCTCTCTCTCTCTCTCTCACTCACACACACACACACACACACAGTATACTTCAAGAACAGTTTCCCATCTTTTTACTTCCGAAAAGAAAATCTAATTTCTGCCGTTCAATAGGCTACTAAAATAATTTAAACTTTTTAACATTATGCAAAATTGCAAAACGCTAAGGTGTGTCTCTAATAAAACCTCTGTAATTTGCTCTGCTTCAATTCAGCAGCATCAGGTAATGTTCATTTGTTGATTAATGGTTTTCTTTCGGTTTTGATTAGGTAGGTCAGATCATAACCTGATTCACCTCACCCCCCGCTATGTGCCAATTGTGAGGAGGGAACCTGTGACCACCAGGACTGTTAGGAGGTGGTCAGAGGAGGCAATAGCGGAACTACAGGGCTGTTTCGAGGTGACCGACTGGGAAACACTCTGTGAGCCTCACGCCGAGGACATCAATGGGCTTACTGAGTGTATCACAGACTACATAACTTTCTGCACCGACTCCATTGTTCCAGCTCAGACTGTTCATTGTTACCCAAATAACAAGCCGTGGGTGACTAAGGACATCAAAGCCCTCCTCAACAACAAGAAGAGGGCTTTCAGAGGGGGCAACAAAGAGGAGGTGAGGAAGATCCAGGTGTTACTAAAGGACAAGATCAGAGAGGCTAAGGACAATTACAGGAGGAAGCTGGAGTGGAAACTCCAGCAGAACAGCATGAGAGAGGTGTGGAGGGGCATGAAGACCATCACTGGATTCAGGCCAACCAACAGCAGGGGAGCTGAGGGAGGTGAGAATAGAGCCAATGAGTTGAATCTGTTTTTCAATAGATTCGACACCACAGTGTCTGCTCCCACCCCCACAACCTCACCTGTAGTCAGCCTGGAATCCAGAGCCACACCACTGTGCCAGCCTCTCTCTTCACATGGCGCTGTTGCCTCCTGTGAGATTCCTGACACCCCTCCCCCACCCATCACCTTCACTCAATACCAGGTTGAGATGCAAATGAGGAGACTTCACTCAGGCAAGTCTGCTGGACCAGACGGAGTGAGTCCCCTGTCCTCAAGACCTGTGCCCCCCAGCTGTGTGGAGTCTTTCATAAACTGTTTATGCTGAGTCTGAGTCTGCAGAGGGTCCCGGTGATGTGGAAGACATCATGCCTCGTCCCTGTACCAAAGACGCCACGTCCCAGTGGCCCCCAGGATTACAGGCCCGTGGCACTGACCTCCCACATCATGAAGACCCTGGAAAGGCTCATCCTGGACCAGCTGCGACCCATAGTAAGACCACATCTGGATCCCCTTCAGTTCGCTTATCAGCCTCGTCTCGGAACTGAGGACGCCATCATCTACCTGCTCAATCGTGTCTACACCCATCTGGACCAGCCGGCGAGCACTGTGAGGGTCATGTTTTTTGACTTTTCCAGTGCTTTCAACACCATCAGGCCGACCCTCCTGGGTGATAAGTTAGCAGCGATGCAGGTGGATGCTTCTCTGGTGTCCTGGATTGTTGATTACCTGACAGGAAGACCACAATATGTACGTCTCCCACAGTGTGTGTCTGACAAGGTGATCAGCAACACAGGGGCACCACAGGGGACTGTCCTCTCCCCCTTCCTCTTCACCCTCTACACCACAGACTTCAGCCACTGCACAGAGACCTGCCATCTTCAGAAGTTTTCTGATGACTCTGCGGTGGTTGGATGCATCAGCAGGGATGATGAGACAGAGTACCGGGCTGTGGTCGACTCCTTTGTCACGTGGTGTGAGCAGAATCATCTGCAGCTCAACGTGGCAAAGACCAAGGAACTGATCGTGGACTTCAGGAAGACCAGGAAACACTTGACCCCTGTTTCAATCCAGGGGGTCAGTGTTGACATTGTGGAGGACTATAAATACCTTGGAGTACACATTGACAATAAACTGGACTGGGCTAAAAACACCACAGCACTTTACAGGAAGGGCCAGAGTCGTCTCTATTTTTTGAGGCGACTGAGGTCCTTCAACATCTGCCGAAAATGCTGAGGATTTTCTATGAGTCTGTTGTGGCCAGTGCGATCCTCTATGCTGTTGCATGCTGGGGGAGCAGGCTGAGGGTCGCAGATGCCAACAGACTTAATAAACTAATCCGTAAGGCCAGCAATGTTGTGGGGATGGAGCTGGACTCCCTCAAGGTGGTGTCGGAGAGGCGGATGCTGTCCAAGATAAAGACAATGTTGGATAACACCTCCCACCCACTCCATGACATGCTGGTCAGTCACAGGAGCACGTTCAGTGAGAGACTGAGATTACCGAAAAGCACCACTGAACGACACAGGAAATCTTCCTGCCTGTGGCCATCTCCCTGTACAACGCATCCACTTAACACACTGTTTGCTGCTACACTACACATGTTTCTTTTCCAGCTATTTATTTATGAGTGACTTATGTATGTATATATATGTATATATTGTACTATTCTTAGTTAGTGTATTGTCTGTCTTGTCTTAATGTTGGTTTATAATGGAGCACTGTAACAAAAAATAATTTCCCCCAGGGATCAATAAAGTATTCTGATTCTGATTCTGATTCTGATTGATCTACTGCTGAATATTTTTATAAAATCGTTTTTCTGTTTTAGCCTCAGCTATGTTGACACAA